AATTATTTTTAAACACGCAACACGTTGTAATGTAACCTTGACGGGCATTAATTTTGCATTTATTTATTTAAATGCAAATGCATTTCTAACTATCCAGTGGAATTTATGGAAGTATCCCCTAATAGCAAGTTTTGCAATGACAATAAAGCAAAAATAAAGTAAAAATTCACCTCCTTTCTTTACGCATTAAGCGTATTAAAATCAAACTGATTGACTGACACACTGACTGCGCAGTCAGTGTGTCAGTCAATCACTGACTGCGCACTGTACGCCTATCACGCTTGCGCTCAGGCCTGCCTACGCTATGGTGTATTGTTATGGGGTCATAGCACAGACTTACGTGAACTCTTTATAAACCAAAAAAACTAATGTGTACGAATACCTTAGACTATTTTTCCCATCCTCAAACATCGTTCAAACTGACAGCTGCAAGCCGCATTTTATAAACCTTCATTTATTGGCCCTCCCTTCTCTATACATTCTGAAAGTCGCTACATTTGTTCGAAATAACATCGGTCTATTTGAATTTAACAAGAGTGCACGTCGCAAAGACAAATTAATCCTCACAGAACCGATCTTGGAAATATTTAAAAAAGGTTCATACTACGGTGGAATACAAATTCATAATAAAATACCAAAGCTTATTAAAAAAATAGCCAAAAGCATTATACCTCCAACCTGAAGGAATTTCTAATAAAAAACGCATACTATTTTGTCTCAGTCCTTGCAAGATAACGACCTATAACAAAAGATCTCAGTGTTTAACCGAAGCACATATTAAGTACCCTGTTCGTAACCAAGTAGTTATTTAACACGATTATCTTAATTATTAGAAATAGATTTTTAAGAGTAAGTAATATTTATATAAGGCTAACTAGATTTAAGTATATTTTACTGTGCCCTGACAGGATCCATGTGATTGTAAAATTTTCATGTAGCAACTATTTTTGGACCATGGTTGCAATAAACGTCATTTCATTTCATTGAAATATCAGGAGAAGACGCTGAAATAAATACGAGAGAGTTCGTTTTTCGTATGGTATAATCAGCTCTACTGGGAATCTGGTTAATTTAACATCACAATGTATGTATAACTAGGTACAAATGTTCTATAAAAAGAAGTTCATCAATGAATACATTATCATTCGTAAATCTTAATTGCATTAACTCCATACCTCTCATAATAATATCACACAATTGTAACTGGAACATACATCCGAAATTATTTATATTTTACTCGAGAACTAGCTAACGCAGGATATACGAGAACAGGAAGAGTACTACAAGTATGAGAACATGAGAATACCAAGCCCCGAGAATTGACGGTTGTGATGGGAAGCTCAACAATATGTACCAATTCTGCTGACCTCCGCCGTCTTTTGGAATTGTCGGTAACGCCTCGACATTGCATCACAACCCTTGAATGAAGAAAAACTACAAGTACATTTAGAAGTAACAATACAGTCCTGATATAATGCGTTTAATCTACGTTGGATTCCTGTTTTGGATATTTACCTACGGTTCAAAATCGAATATCAGACCGTTGTTTGTCATATCATGTACCTACATATTACCCTTAAAGGATGGAAAAAAATAAAGGAAAGGAGCTGCCCTATCTACGGAATAAACGTCCCTACCTAAGCCAAAAATGTCCACCACAAATGGCGGATTTCTTTATTGTTGTACCGTAATCATCGATAAGTCAGAATCGACATGCAAATGTATGGCTTGAATGTTGAAACTGTTTTTTTTTTGTTATGTTTGTAATGTGTATAGTTTACTGTAATCAATATATTATGATTAAAATGTTTAATTAAAGTAGATCAATATTCATTGTCATATGGGAATATCCGGG